CAACTTATTTATTGGGAGAGATGACAACAATAGTTGATAGGCCAATAAATTATGGTAATGTCGAAAGAGAGCATATAGAGAATATTTATGAAACAATTAGAAAAGACATAAATGAGGTGATGTTATTCGCATGGGACCACAAACATTTCTACAGCTATGTGCTAAACTTAGAAACATTGATAGAGTAAAAGATTCTAGAAATATTACAATTAAAGAGCAGGTGGCAAAATTTCTTCACATATTAGCACATAATGTAAGAAATAGAACAATGACTTTTTACTTTAATCGGTCCGGGGAAACTATTAGTCATCATTTTCATAATGTGTTGCGAGCTATTCTTTCTCTTGAGGCCTAATATCTTGCCCAACCTTCTGGATCAGAGGTTCCTTCAAAACTTCTCAATAACCAAAGATTCTATTGATATTTTAAGGTATGCTTTTATATTTGTTCATGCTTCTTGAATTTTATAGCATATACATTATGTGTAACCAAATTTTATAATAGGATTGCATTGGAGTAATATATATAACTCATGTTTGGGCAAAAGAACCTAGAAGAGAAGCTGGTCAATTTCGAGGATGTAAAGATTACCCTGCTCAAAATGTTTTCATTGCATGTTCATTTGACATGAAATTTACATACATATTAGTTGGTTGGGAAGGAACTGCCTCCAATGCAAAAATCCTAAAAAATACTTTATTAAGAGACGATAAAATTATAATTTCTCAAGGTTAATAAGAAACTACAAATGATTGTTTTATTTTATTTATACATACTTTGGGCTTATGAACTAATTTATATTTTCTAGGAAAATTTTATCTTGGGGATGCTGGCTTCCCACTAAAGCATAGTCTGCTAACACCTTATAGAGGAGTTCATTATCACTAAAAGGAATATTTCATAAGACTACCATAAAATGCAAGGAAAATTTTTAACCATCAACATGCATCCTTGTGGAATGTTATTGAAAAAACATTTGGTGTTTCAAAAAAAAAAATTTCCATCATTAGTAGCAGTATTGAGCCACATTTTTCATTGGAAACAATGGTTGAATATTGTGATAGCCTATTGCATATTACATAATTTCTTAATGGGTGTTGACCCTGATAAAAACCTAATCTCTAATGTTGATAATGAACTATCACGCTATCCCAACATAGATGATCAACTTGCATACAGTCAAGAGGAAGACTATAGACAAGGATCAATTTTACAAGATAATATAGCAGCCCATATGCGGCATGACTACTCAACTCATATGTCACATGGATTGTGATTTGAGCTATTTATTTAAGTTGTATGAATATGAAATTTATCTTGTCTTATATTGCTTGAAAGTATGTGTTTCCTTGTATCAGTTGACATATAGCATTTGACTAATTGTAATTTGAACTAGTTATTTGAGTTGTATGAGTATGAAATTGATCTTAGCATGCCTTGTATTGCTTGAAAGCATGTGTTTCCTTATATTGTCTAGTTGATATGTAGTTGATTGCATAATATCTAGTTGATTTTTTTTTTTATGTAGATTGAACAATGACACAGAAAAGGAGAGAATCAATGAAGGATAATTTGCGTTGCACTCTTGAAATGGATGAATCTTTTATTGACACCTTATTGGAAGATATGATGAAAGGAAATCATCCAGATGACACATTTTCAACATTTGCATATGATAATAGGGTCCAAACTCTCAATGATATTTTTGGTTCTCACATTGCCAAGCAGCATTTAAAAAATAGAAAGAAAACTTTATCATAATGATTTGCAAAGCTTTATGATTTGTTTAATGGATTGAGTGGCTTCTCATGGAGTCCTATTACAAAATTGTTTAAAGTTGATAATCAAGTTTGGAATGATTTAATTGAGGTGAGTAACTTGTATGATTTATACTTATTTATAACTAATGAGATTCATATATCTTCTTTTATCTTTGCAGAAAAAACCAAATGCAAAAAAGTGAAAGAATACACTTGTATTACATTATGACAAGTTATATGAGCTATTTAGTGCAGACAGGACAACCAAAAAATACTCCAAAAATGCCAAGGAAAGAGTTACACAATGGGATCAAGGGGACAATCAATTAAATGAATCTATGGCAGGAGCAACTAACATTGAAATTAATTGTAATTTTCCAAATGAGTCACCAAACTCACTAGTTAATTTGGACTCTAGCCCATCATGTGGGGCATCAGGAGAAACTACATCAGTTAGAGGACACAAGCGTAGGGCTTCAATGGCTGAATCTATTGAGGAAAGGTGTGAGAAAATGATGTTAGGAATAAAAGAATTAGTTGATGTCATGCGAGGTGGTGATGTTACTGAGAAGCATGCTTAAATTGCCGAGAAAGTTATTTCAATACTTGAAAAGAGTAAGCCTTGTCATTACAATGAATGAAGTGTGGAATGCAATTGAGGAAATTAGGATACCTGAAGAGTATAAACTAAAATGTTACTTCTTGTGTAATGAAGAAAGACACAAGCTAAATTTTTTTGGGGTTCTACCTCATATACGAGTACAAACATTGCTGAAGATGATGACTGCTATTGGGGTTCAATGAAGTATTGGACTTTTATTGGTTTAACAAATATAGGTCTTCTGTAAAACGAAAGTGTATTGTACTCTTTTGTTTAGGAAACATATAACTTTTTGTTATGATTTTTGCAATGCATAGATATGTTGGCAATTTTTTGTTGAGGGAACATAAACCATTCTCTTTCTTATTTACAATACTCCATGATCATAGTCATGATGTTGGATATTTTCATGGAATCAATTTCTATAGTTGTTATGTTCTAGTTTAATCCTTTAATTTTTTTATCATTTATTAATAATGTTGGATAATATATCATTTATTTATTTTTTATTATATTTAATTTTGAAAAATTATTCACTTTTAAACTTCAAAAAATAATATTTTTTTGAAAATTATTTGGTTTAAAATATAATAATATGAAATTATATTTTATGAAATTATTTAATTGGACCAAACTTAGGTCAAGTACATCCAAGTAGCAAATTAGGTTTTGCCACGTGTTTTAATTAGATACATAATCATTTAATCCCATTTAACTCTGTTAACAACGATAAACTAGTAGCTAAGAAAATGATGGTTGATTGTTTTCATTTCAATTCCATAACCCTAGAACCATACGTGCCTATCAACAAAGCTTAAAAAATGGTGGTAAGGACCAATTGTCGAGGTTTTGGGTGCAAGAACAAGCCATTCAATCAGTTTCTTCTTGTTCTTTTAAAAATGCACAATGTGTCCCCATTGAATGAGTGTTTTAATTTCTTTGATTTCACACTCTTTCATTAGTCTTCATTTTCTCTCTCTATCTTACAATGAAGTTCGTCATCGAGCTTCTCTGCCTCTAAGTCACAAGTGGTATAAAAAATTTTCATAGCTTTAAGTTATGCGCTCACCTCTTCAATTTCAATTTGCTCAATCAAGTTTGAGGGTGTGAGTCCGAGCACAGGTGATCACCAGATAATTTTTACACGCAAGAGTTCTTGAGTTTTCCAACTCTTGATTGATTTCGACTGCTATTGATTGGTACAGTGCAAGTCCTTGGGCTTATTGTGAAACAAACCAAATACGAAACAATCATTGCATCATTGAATTTTCAATCAAATCCCTTGGTTCTTAAATTTCCCACTTTGAATTTTTGGGCACGCAACGGTTGTTAGCTTTTAGGGATGAAAACAATGTATATATGAAACAATCAACTGCCTTCTGATTTCTTTGGTGCAAGTCTTCAATGGTGGTCCCCTTAGAGAATTGTGGCTAACAGAGTTAAGTGGGTCAAGTCATGATGTGTCTAATTAAAACACATGGTAAAAGCTAATTTGTTACTTGGATATACTTGATCTAACTAACTTGACCTAAGTTTAATCCTATTTAATTATCAATTATTTTACAATGCTTATGTTGATCTAATTTTGCTACTCTAATATTTAATTTGATTTTAAAAATGATATATTTTCATATGGAAGGGTATTTTGGCTATTTAGATATTTGCTTATTTTCTTTTCTCTCTGTTTTTTTCCGTCCATCCAAACAGCAAAAGTGATAACATTTTCTCTATAGTTTTCTCTTCTTTCCATTTTCTTTCCTCTCAATTTTTATTCTCATCCAAACGGAGTGTAAATTCTCATGAAATTATAAAAATCAAAATTAATTATTTAAAATTATAGCGATCAAAACTAAAATTGAATCAACATATGGCTATCAACAATGATATTAACACTATAAAATTTTAAAATTTAGTTAATAATATTTACAGTTTTTCTTAATTTTAAAATTACCTTATAAATGGATATAGAATTAAAATCATACTACCTCCGGTTCTTAATATAAGACCTTATTTTATTTTTATTTTGGTCCTAAATAGAAGACCTCAGTCTACTTTGTCTCTCATATTTATGTATTTTTTTTCCAGATATTCCTTCTAATAATAGTGTTCTTGCCAATCTATTTGATTAGTAAGGATACGTTACAAAAGAAAACACTCCTTTATTACAACTAATTTAATTTTTTTTAATCTTCTTAAATTAATCAACCAGTTTTTATAATTAGAACTAGAGGTAACATTACTGAACTAATTTCAGATATTGGTTTCTTCGTCCAAATATCCTTGTTAATGTCAAAGAATCTTCCAAATCAAGCCAGCGTGATATCAGCAAATCCCATCAACGCAGGCCCTGCTAGCAAAATACTACTTCCGATCCTAATTATAAGAATCAGTCGACTAATTTGAGATGATTAAGAAAGTAAGTTGAATTAGTTATTTGTCCTAAATATGTGTTGTCTTTCTTAAAATATTCTTACTAATCAAGTGTATTGACTAGAACTATAATTGTTAGAAGGATTATTTTAGAAAAAATTGAGTAAATATGAGAGATAAAGTAGATTAGGATTTTATATTTAAGATCAAAATAAAAATAAGTTCCTGGTACCAGAATACTATTAGCCAATCCTCTCAAGCTGTGTATCGTCGCGTCATCGTTCTCAGGGTCAACAGGGACGGCCCCGACCCAAACCCTCCTCCTTGCTTTCGCGGAAAAACCCTAAGAATCATTCTCCGTTTCTCATTCTTTGATAGGAAACCCCACAAGGTCAACGAACCAATCAAGGTACCAATCTATTTGTGTAATTGAAATACAAATTAAATTGGAGAATACCCACGGTCTGCTAAACTCCGTCGATATATTAAGGAGGTCAATTCAAGAGACACTGCATTGGCGTTGAACCAGACGTTGCCTGAGAGACATGTCATCCGAGATCGAGGTCGTTGAAGAGGTCCAATCGCGGAATCAGCCGCTGGCGGCTCCCGGCACTGCGTCCAGCGCTTATGAAGTGGGGGAGGAGGGCTTGCGGAACGACGTCTACACCGCTGCGGCTTATGGGGATTTGGAGAAGCTACATAGATTGGTAGACCAGGAGGGTTGCTCCGTCTCCGAGCCTGATGGTCTCGGATACTACGCTCTGCAGTGGGCCGCACTTAACAATCGTGCTGCCGCTGCTCAATACATTATTGAGGTTCTATGCGTTGCTTCTTTGATGGGCTTGTTGAATTGTGTTTGATTTATTTTCATTTGAGCTGGTCTCATTCGCCTTCCTTGGTATTCCACATTCCGTTTGGCTTATTTCAATTCTTACAACATTTTTTCTTGATCAATATATTTGTTTTATTACTTATTATATATGCTATCGGAGGCATTAGAACTCAGTTCTTTCCCCGTTGCTCTTTTGTTCTTTTGAATCGTCCTATTCACTATGGTGCCTAGATTTGGCTTGCACGATGTTCTTCTGAGTGTGAATGCACCTGGATTTCGCATTTACTGAGTCTGTTTGATAATTAAGGATTCATGCATTGGCCAAAAAAATATAATTAAGGATTCATACAAACGAGAGTTACTGCTGGTGTCTTCAGGCCAAAAAAAAAAAAATCCTTCTCTCTTCTTGTTAATAATCTGTTTGGGATTTACATTTCATTTAAGGAGAGAGCCTGATGCTTAACAATTTTTTTTTTTTGGTGGCCATCTCTCTCGTCACATAACTATCATCCACATCCATCTGCTCATGACAGAATGTAAAATCCCCTGTATACTGATGCAATTAAATTTATCATCCATATAATTCCATAGTGAGGCTTTATGGTAGATAGTGAATGTTAATTTCAAATTTTCAATCCGTCTATGCAATATATGAAACTGTGAGGTTTTAACATCAGCTCAATAAATATCGGTGTATTGATTGCCAGCATGGAGCAGATATAAATGCAACAGATCATACTGGCCAGACGGCATTACATTGGAGTGCAATTGGGGGTGCCATCCAGGTTGCAGAGCTTTTGCTTCAAGAAGGTGCAAGAGTCACTGCTACTGATATGTATGGGTTTCAGGTTAGTTTTATCTGTTCCTTTTATTTTTTTAATTTAAGATTAAGATAACGTTTCATGTGATAAATAGTTAGATGGTAGTGCGAAAAGTCTGTTGGACACAGCGTAAGCAACAATTAAGTTAGTCACTGTGCTGATACCAACAATTATTTGTTCAATAAAAGCTGCCAGTATATATATATATATATATATTCAATAACGATAGAACTTAGTTCCATTTGCTTATTATGCCCATTACAACCACTTTTACAATCAAATATCAGCACTTGGATTTTATCATAGATGTAATGATAGCCCATTATATTTATGTAAACAATGAAGTGAAGAAAAAAAGACCAAATGTTGAGATTTGATTGGAGAATTGGTTGTAATGGACATAACCAAACAGACCCAAGTCTTCTCCTATTAATATTCATAATATTAGAATATTTATTCCATAAAGTTTTGTTCCATCTGTTAATAACTGCACAGTGATGTAATGTGCTTATACAAACTAAAATTGGAAGTCCCAATTTTGTTTTGCCTGGAGCACATGAGTACTTTGATAGATGGCGATATGAATAAAGTAAATATATGCAGGCAACGCATGCTGCAGCTCAGTTTGGTCAGACAGCTTTCCTCTACTACATTGTTTCAAAATGGAATGCTGACCCTGATATTCCTGATAATGATGGAAGAAGCCCCTTGCATTGGTAATTTATAATTATATTCACCCACTTTTTTTCCTTTAACATGTTCACATAGGTTGTTTCCCAGGAGAACATTGGAAACTGAAAATTTGGTTTGAACTCTTGATGAATATATTTCTGGTAGAATTCAGTGAATCATTACAGTGTTATCATTTCAATGTTCACTATGACGTGTCACCATGAAGCATAAGCTAGAGACCTGCCTATTGTTTTCTCTATCTTGATATTTCCAATTTCCCTGGAAACTTACATTTTCTTGGGTATTACTGGTTGTATGGTTCTCTCAAGTGTAAAAGCTGGAAGAAAGGCAGAATAATTACTATAACAATTGTGTAGCAAATTTAAATCTAATGAATTGAAGGAGTGGATCACATTATTAGGAGTCAAATCCTTGGTGGAGCTTATGTGGACTAATGAATCACTTGATGAATCGGCTTAAGATGATGCATCAAATTGAGTATATTGGATGTTCTAGTGAATTATGAGTCTGATGATGTTACATGTTTCTTACTACAGACAGCAAGTTTAATTTAGGAAATGATGACAGCTTAGAATGTTCGTATTTCTAGAGATTTTTAATTTGGAAATAAATGTTTACTCACATTTTTCCAGTTGCAACCTATCAATGAACGTTTTGTAAGTTATTTTTGTTTCTGTACTTATAGCATTGTCCATTGTGAAAGACAGATGTTAAAATTGCATCCTAGGTGTGCCGCCCGACAGATTGCATAAATTTATTTTGTATTGAAAAAAAATTGACCCTTTTTTTCTTACTATCTGTTATTTTTTTCTTGAACTTTAGAGGTGGCTTGTTGGTTCAACTTTACTCATCTTTGTTTCTGTTATCGATAAATTTAATTTTTCCCCACTGGTTTTGCCTGAATGCCCAAAAGGATAAAGGAAGGCAAAAGAAAGAAATCCTGTCCCTACATTTTGAATGCTCTGCTTAACTGAACTAGTCATTTGAATATCAGGGCTGCATACAAAGGCTTTGCTGATTGCATTCGTCTTTTGATATTCCTAGATGCATACAGGGGGCGTCAGGACAAGGAGGGTAAGTTTAATGCTCTAATCTGAATTTCCTCCCTGATATCATTGTTCTAAAATAGTATAAGCATTGATATTTATATAGGGTGAATCTTTTCTTGATTTTGAAGCCTTTTAGTAATTTCTATTTCCCTGAATTCTCCTCAGGTTGCACCCCTCTCCACTGGGCTGCTATCAAGGGTAATTTGGAGGCATGTACTGTGCTAGTACAGGCTGGAAAGAAAGAGGACCTGATGGTTACTGATAATACTGGCCTCACACCTGCACAGCTTGCTTCTAATAAGAATCATAGACAAGTTGCTTTCTTCCTGGTAGGTGTTTTATAATTAAAATATTATTTATTTGTTTACTAATGTCTCCTTAGTGGTAGTTGGGCATTAATTTAAATTGGCCTCTTTTTGTTTTTGGCTGATTGATTTTTCTGGGGGTCATTTTTCCTTTGTTACTGGTAGTTGTTTTACAAAGAATGTCCGAGTACTGTTTGATGGAAGTTATTATTTGCTCATCAGTTCCCTTTTTCCTCTTTGCAAAGCTGTAACTTTGGAATCTTAACCTATAAGAGGAGCCTTTGCCATAGATATGTATTTGGAATATTTTTCATAACTTCATTTGAATATCTGCTATGAAACTTCCGTACCTTGCTTTTAATAGTCTGTTCTTATAATTTGAGGATTCGTTTGTAGATGTGATTTTAGATATGCTATATTCTTCATGTGAACATATAGAACTCTGCCTAATACACGGGACGCCTTTTTTCTCTGTGAATTGTGTAAGTCATGCATGTTTACCATTTTGTATTCTAGGTGCTTACGTGGAGCTCTTAGTATGCTGATGAAAACAGTCGGTAGTCACATGGTTATCCTAGACATCCATATATTTTCTTTCTTGTATTATCGATGTGTTTTTTTTTTTTGACTCTGCCACAGTACATATGGGATATCTGAATCATAGGAGTGCTGATAATAATGCATATTCACATTTGGATTATCTAATGAATATTCACTTATTATTTCTAAAACTTCCAGCAAGTCCAATAACTTGGTTTTAGTTTTATCAATCAGAGAATGTGTGGATAAAGGATTGAGTAATGCTTACCAAATGCTGACAAAATTGTAGGGAAGTCTTGTTCTGTCCATGCATAAAAGCACCTTGAGATTTTAATCAATTACTTAACGAAACCTTTTTGTACACAATTCTTGATGGCACGACTGAGCAACCTTTGCAGCATGCAATGGTCATTTTATTCTGAAAAATCTGTAATTGCTGAGAATGCAAAAACTGCCTTCTCACTCCAAGTGCCACATAGTGGCTGATCATAGGGTCATGCACCATTGTAAGATTCTCTTGCCTGTTTGCATGTGAATGTGATTGTTCGAGAGATTGAAGTAAAGTAGGTACTTGGTATGTTTGAAAGGGGCTGGCACCTTACTCATGATTGTGTCTTGTTTCCCCCCCTCCTGTCAGTTGTTTTCCCCCCTAAATGAATGAACCTATTTATGCCATCATTTGATGCTTCTGAAGATATAAAATTCGTTTCAGAGATCACCCCCATTTTGTAATGAATGATGCCAAAGTGGCTGAGTATTTCCCCTTACTGAGGTTTATTTTCTGAACAAGAATGAATAAGAGCTTTTATTGTGATGCTAAATATGTTCTATAGGGTAATGCCAGAAGGTTGCTTGATAGACGTTGTGATGGGAATAGCCGCTTTGGAAAAGTCTCCAAAATAGGACTTGCTCCTGTACTTTGGTGTATAATTTTAGTGCTCCTGCTCACTTATGTTCACTCGGTCATCTTGGGTATCTATCTTGCCTGTATTTCTTCATGTGACAATTTTTCTTACAATGATGTATTTTCTTTTGTATCCTCTAATTTTTATTCTTACAACTTATACAGCAACAAATCTGCCAAAACTAACGGCTGCCTCTGGTCTTCTTGCATGGTTTGGAGTTTTCGTTGCAAGTGCTGGATTGTTTATGTTTTACAAGTGTAGCAGGTAGGCAACCTGGGTTTAAAAATAAGCTGTTTCTAACAAGCACGGTAATTGAATCACCATTCAAGATGTAAATCGGGAGGTTAAGTGTTTAATCATGGATCATAAATTGTATTGAACTATGCAATTTTGGAGACACAATAAAATAGTTTGAATTATATCGTATAGAAATGTACACTATCAAAATGTGCTCAGATAATAATTTTAAGAGGGAACCACAAATTTTAAATTACAAGACTTGGAAAACAAAATCACTTGTAATAATAATAACCCAATAATTATCAAACTGATAACTCATACAAGTTTCTCAAGTTAAATAATTGTCCAAAATTAATCATTTTCCTATTCATTGTGGCTGATGTCATCACTTGTCATCTTCCCACAAGACAATTCTGCCATTCTCTTATTCCTTTCTGTAATAACCATCATCTTTGACGTGTTGTTCAACATTAACTTGTACATAAATGCCTGTGTCCTTTTCTTTATTGTCTGCAATAAGATTTCATGGACCAAAAAGTAGACGCATTATTACAACGAGTGATTAATATAAGAAAACATTTAAAAATTACAAAATAAAAAAATTCATACTTAAGATTGCCAGTGCAATTAATATACCTTCTTTTCCTGTCATGATTAGTGATGATTTCAAGCCGCTACTGCATTCACTGATATATTTCACAATATTAAATAAGGGGCCCTTCGCCAAATTAGATGGCAACAGATTTCTATGTACGCATCTACAAATATTGCTAACCGTTAGATCTCTATCCTTTACCATTTCAATAGTAGTTGCTTAATATTAGGCTTTAAGGAAGTCTGAGCTACATCTTCTACTTCCTATGTCTAACATGGATCCCTTCTTTTGCGTCTCCTGTTCTTGACTTCATCACTCAAAACACAATATATCATCATTTCCTTGTGTGCTCTGGCTAGATTACTTTTCATCCTAAATGCCCCTCCTTATATCATTTTGGGCCAATAGTTACATATACTGACCAAGTCTCAGGAGGGATCCACCTTCTCCAATTTCTAATTGGACCCATAGCTTATAATAAGAGCACAAAATTAAAAACTGCTTGTGATCCACCTTGTCCAAATTCTAATTTAATTGCTTTAGTGCCAAAACCAAAGTGCATGGGCAAAACGTGATGCAGAGGACAACAGTGTGTTGCTTTTGGTTGAAATGAGTAATTATTTAACTGTATTTTGGTGAACATGCTTTGTTTTTTTATATAGGGCTCCTTTACTTTTTTATTCTTTAAAATTGCAAACCTATTTGAGAAATGGATGCGCCTGCAAGTAATTGGAATCAGTTGTTACCACAAGTGAGGTTTTCTTCACTGTGCTGCAATCATGACTCACAAGGCCTAGTGTTACTTAACGAAACAACGCTGTTTCAATTGAAAAAGGGGGGGTCTTTTTCTACGGTGGATTTTCCATGTCATTTGTCATTATCTTGAAGCTAGTACTTGAGTTGTTTGGGAGAGCTGAATCATATCATGCAGCTTTGCATGCATGTACGCTCACACAAAATGTACAAAGCAAAAGTATAGGTCGGAATTATTTCCGCTGTTTGAAACTGTGAATCATAAAAATTAAGTTGGAAATGATGTTTTCAATCTGACTTGTTAATTTGAGAGGGGTGGGTAAAGTCATAATGGTTATTTATTAATATTATTGTTGATGGTATTTCTATTTCAATTTGCTTGCAATTGTGTATTGCCAAGGGTTATTCTTCATGTGTTTACCCAATATAAAAAGAGATTATCCTCCACGAAGCAATTTAGGTTAAATTTTGAAATTTTTGATTGCATGTTGTCCTTGATGAGGATATCCTAGGACCGAGAGATTTGTTAGTGTTCAGTTGCCTTGGTATTTTACTTCATTTTCTTTCTTGTCTTTTTGCAGTAAAGATCCAGGTTTCATCAGAATGAACTTGCATGACTCTGAGAATAGTAAAGATGATGTGAGTTCTTTTCTCTTCTGTTGAATTTCTCTTTAGATTTCATTTTCTCAAAGAATTTATAATTTTGTCCTTTTTTGTTTATGTATGCGTGCTATAAAGATCTAGTATTAGCTATCAATGATGTATTTAAACAATTTGCTGCAGGAAGCTCTCTTAAAGATTGAGATAAATCATCCTGCATTGCTGGCTGGCAATTGGTCCCAGCTTTGTGCAACATGCAAGGTTCACCCTGCTTTATTTAGATTCTCAGACCTCTTACTGTGAAGCATTCTTCTTCAGCTATCTCTGACTTGCGCACACTCAGATGCACATACTCATCTATCTATAGCTTTATACGATTCATGCCCTCTTAAATTATGTTTTTTTCCCCTTTAGATTGTCAGGCCCCTTCGTGCAAAACACTGTTCTACCTGTAATCGTTGTGTGGAGCAATTTGATCATCATTGTCCTTGGGTATCCAATTGCATCGGCAAGGTATTTTCTGAATGAGTGCTTTAGTAGTGTGTTTGAAACATTGTTCTATTTGAACTTCTCTGACTGTAAATTAGTCTTTTCATTTTTACTTAATTTTGGGCTGTTGGTGCCCTATTATGTAGTACAAGCTACAGCTACACGAAATAGCTATTGTAGCACAGGCTAGTGGAAGTTGAAAAACTACAAATGTGGCCCTGTGCTACGAGCCATGGTGTTGACCAACAAGCTATACAATGGTATTAATGACCGTGATTTCACCTGAGGCACCTCAAGTATAAACTATGCGGGGAACCCTTTTTTGGACATTTTTATTTGGCGGTGGATTTTGTGAGCAGTCGTTGTTGGTACATGTTGAGAGACTGATTGAGCTTGTGAGTGAAAATTTAGTTGTAAGTAATAAAATTGCAGGCCCCCCCCCCCCCCGGTCTCCTGAGAAGGTTTATGTAAGATTTTGTCACTAAACATGATTTATGAAATCCTGTAAAGTTAGTTTGGACTGTCAATCTCATCTCATTTCCTTTTGTAAAAGTATTGGCATGAATGGTGACTAATCCTAATAGCATCTAATGAACTACCAACTTTTCTTCTTTTCCTATTTCTTGGCGTGCAAGTTCTTTAATTTAGTTCTCATTAAATTGACCTGCTTGTGGTGTAAACTAAAATATATGATTGCAGAGGAACAAATGGGAATTCTTCATTTTTCTTGTTCTTGAAGTTTCGGCAATGTTGATCACTGGTGGGGTTACTCTTACGAGTATGTGAACTTCGACTCTTGATAAGCTTCGTTTTCATTCCCCATTCTTTTGGGGTGTTTAAGTTGCTAACGGGAACTTATTTTTGGCGTACAGGAATATTAACTGATCCACTTGCTCCTTCATCATTTGGAGCACGGATTCAATACGCATTTACACATCTAGTGGGGGCTACATCATTTCTAGTCGTTGATTTTTTCCTCTTCTTTAGTGTGTTCGTTTTGACAGTTCTTCAAGCTAATCAGGTATGCATTGAAAGTCTCATTCAGTATTATGGGTAGAAAGAATGCGGTCAAACCGTTGCAAAGCCAATGATTTTATGGAACCATTTTTGTTCATTGCAAATTCCAATTCCCCTTGTCCATATCTCGTTTGCCGCACCCTAGTTCAAAGTCAGGCATCACCATTCGTGCCAGTGACAGTAGCTTTGCAGTCTGGATTGTAATTGTCTGTAGTTTGACTTAAACCAACATGATTTCTACGCCAAGGGAAAAATAAAAAAAATAAAAATCATGGAGTTCGGCTCGTAGCTCATAACATGTCTGAACTTGGTTAAAAGTTACTGCAGCTCTGTCATCTTCTCTATGAATTTGATGTAGTTTGACGTTGATTAATATTAACCATGTGATCAAGGATCCACAAGGAAGTAAATGAAATACCTTAGTCACAAAAACAAGAATAATACTCGTAAATTCCTGCCCATGATGCCATATTTGAACTCTTATTTTAGAACATATTGGAAGTATGCTTTTCTCTTTTATATAAACGCAAAAGAATTAATTGATCTCCCTGCCGTCAAATTTATATTTACATATGATATCTTTTTCTTCCTGCAGATATCACGTAATATTACAACAAATGAACTTGCAAATGCAATGCGATATAGCTACCTTAGAGGTGCGGGTGGTAGATTCAGAAATCCCTATGATCATGGGATCAAGAAGAATTGTACAGATTTCTTGATCAACGGATACAGTGAAGATGTCCAGTTGATTGAAGAATTTGACAACTCTGAGGGTATAGGAATGATGAACATGTCAAGGAGCTCAAACCTAGCCAACGGAGACTCGCACTCTCATACTGCGAAGGGCAACGGCCATTTTGTCATTGATGTCGGTTCCCGCAGCACCAGCTCTAATACGCGCCATGCTCGCGCTCATCATGGTCACAGCAATGGTCATACTCATTCCACTCATTGTTCCCACCATAATGCCCACGGCAAAACAAAAACTGAGAGTATTCCTTTGGGCTTAGGTCTTGGTCTTGGTCGGAACACCAGATCTGGTGCTTCCTCATCATGATAATTACTCGCCTGGTTGTACTAAAGTGTATTGTACCATAGGGATACAACTAGGTTAGTCTTTTTGTCAATTCAATTTATTGTGGCTCTAATCCATCTCCCGGTGTGCAATTGTGGCGCTGTATTTTGCTCCTATCTCCCTTTTTTATCAGGGCTTTATTTGCGGTCTGTGAAGCTTTATCACATAACATGAGACCCTGATAAAGTGCTGTTTCCTGGGAAGATCACCGAGGTCTTGAGGGAGATCTTTAACAATCTTAATAACAAGTGAGTAGCATGAACTTGTCATTTGGTGCGCTGATATCTGTTATTACATGCTGCTCATTTGTTTTTTTTTTTTAAATAATTATATTACTTCCTTGGGGCTTCAGTAATTCTCTCTTATTTCTTTAGCATATTAAGAAACAAGATTTAGGTGGGAATAGAATGGAATTGTTCCTTATGGATCGAACGAGCAAGCGAGAAAAGAGAGAAATAGAAAGTCACGTATCATCTCACTCGTTCAAGACACAATCAAAGTTACGATGAATCTCTTCCTATGGTTAATATCCATGTATACTGTAGCTAGTCCCCCCCCCCCAAAAAAAAAAATCGGTTTACACCGTTTGTACTCAACCAGAAATTTCTTCTCCTGCAATGCAAGGGTTAGGATATTTGATTAGATTTTAAATTCTAATCAATGTTTATTTCTTATTGAAGTGTGATTTTTTTTATTCATTCAAATGAGATTTGAATTAGATATGCAGAATTTAGAAGAAAAAAAATGAAAATTTAAAATTAATTATTTATCTAATGATGTTCCTTGTTTAATTTAACATACTTAAATTCTAATCAAAAGATTATTCAGATCTCATTAACTAACTATATTCAGATTTCATTAATTAATCGGGTGTTACAGGTTTTTAAGAATATAGTTGATAGTTGATGATTACAGTTCTCCCTCTCTCAAAAACATAGTTAATTTATAATTCATTTGTTTGAACATGAAGCAAGGATTTTCATTCCGTTCATAGCTTACATGCTTAGAGGGTTATTGTTGAGTAACTTTCTGACCTGATTCTGTTGTAATTTTCCAAAAGTTACAAGGTCGAAACCAAATCGAACCAAATTCACCAAAGGCATGAATTTATCATATGTATTAATGATTGAAGAATCCGCCATATGTCCAGTCCAAACCACCTGAAAATCGGTTAAAAATTGGATCAGTGGAGAATCAATTAAAACTAATTTTTCTTTGTTTCTTTTTCGATTTTTTAATGACTCAAAGTTACATTATTTGTGTTTTTATTTTTCTAAGTTTTTTCTTCAGTGTCCACAGATAGCTTTGGTTAATTATGAAATCTCTGGTTAGTTTGGTTCGACATTTAATCAATTTGTAATAGATAATAAATATTTTTATTGCTATATTAATGTGATTAACTATAAATTTAACATTTACAATAAGGATATGAAAAATATTATCAAAGATATTTTTATTTTTTTCACACATGTTCTTTCAATTATACTACCCCCGTTCTTAGTATAAAAACTAGTTGGAGATTCAGTTTGGTTTTAAATATAAGACCTTAATTAATCTTGTCTCCAATATTTATCAATTTTGCCATTCAAACAATTGCTGTGGTAATAACACATGTTAAGAAATTTTCATCAAGAGTAGCTTTAATGCACATGATTGATAAGATATTTTAAAAAAAACAACATCTATTCATTATAAATAATTAATTTAACTAATTTTTTCTTATATTAAATATCAGAGATATAGTATTAATTTCCCACCATTGAGGGTAATTTCCCCCCGCTGAGGGCCTCTTTAGTTTGAGGGAAGGGTGGAGTGGTGAGGTTTTAACCTTACCTTATTTGGCTTGATTAAAAAAAAGGGAATGAGGGGTATGCAATGATCTCTTGTTTGGTGGGAGGAATAAAAATAATCATTTTATCATTTTATCTTTATATGTTAGTTTATATTTATATTTTTATCTATATATTATATAAATTATTTATAAATTCAAATTACTTAATTCAATAAAGATTCGGTATTATCATATTAATAAATATATTTAAAAGTCGGTAAAGTAATTTTTTGTTCTAATTAATATGATAATATCTTTTAAATAATAAAACTAACAAATTTTACATGCCATAATAGAATTGAAATTTAAAATTAATTATTTATCTATCCATTTAGGCCTCTAATTGACATGGTACTTTTTATTTAATTCAATATATTCAAATCTCAATTAAGATATCATTCAAATTTAAAATTAATTAGTAGTTTCTTCATCTGAATTTCCAATTGAAATTTCATGTAATAATGATACTCTTCATTTAAATCAATATACCTAAATTCCAATCAAAAGATTATTTAAATCTCATTAACTAACTATATTCAGATCTCATTAATTAATTAGGAATTATAAGTTTTCAAGAATATAGTTGATTGATTGATAGTTGATGATTACAGTTCTCTCTCTCTCAAAAACGTAGTTAATTTATAATTCATTTTTTTGAACATGAAGCAAGGATTTTCATTCCGGTTATAGCTTACATCCTTGGAGGGTTATTGTTGAGTAACTTTCTGACCTGATTCTGTTGTAATTTTCCATAAGTTACAAGGTCGAAACCAAATCGAACCAAATTCACCAAAGGTATGAATTTGTCATATATATTAATGATTGAAGAATCCGCGATATGTCCAGTCCACACCACCTGAAAATCGGTTAAAAATTGGATCAGTGGAGAATCAACGGAAACTAATTTTTCTCTGTTTCTTTTTCGATTTTTTAATGACTCAAAACATTATTTCGTGTTCTTATTTTTCTAAGTTTTTTCTTCAGTGTCCACAGATGGCTTTGGTTAATTATGAAATCTCTGGTTTGTTTGGTTCGACATTTAATCAATTTGTAATAGATAATAAATATTTTTATTGCTATAGTAATGTGATGAACTATAAATTTAACATTTACAATAAGGATATGAAAAATGTTATCAAAGATATTTTTATTTTTTCACACATGTTCTTTAAATTATACTACCTTGTCCTTAATATAAAGCTGGTTGGAGATTCAGTTTGGTTCTAAATATAAGACCTTAATTAACCTTGTCTCCAATATTTATCAATTCTGCCATTCAAGCAATCACTGCAATAATGACACATGTTAAGAAATTTTCGTCAAAGGTAGCTTTAATACACATAATTGATGGGGTATTTTAAAAAAGACAACATCTATTTATTATAAATAATTAATTTAACTAATTTTCTTAACATCCATAGATTAGTTATTTAGCTTTTATGTTAAATATCAAAGACATAGTATTAATTTCCTACCATTTAGGGCCTCTTTAGTTTGAGGGAAGGTGTAGAGTGGGAAGATTTTATTAAAAAGAAGGGGAAGGAGGGGTATGTAATGATTTTTTGTTTGGTGGGAGAGATAATAATAATCAATTTATCATTTTATCTTTATATGTTAGTTTATATTTATATTTTTATCTATGTACTACCTCTGGTCCTAATTATAAGAACTAGTTAACTAATTTGAGAAGATTAAGGAAAGAAGTTAAGTTAATTATTTGTAATAAATAGGTGTTGTTTTTTCTAAAATATCCTTGCTAATCAAGTGTATTGGCTAGAACTATCATTGTTAGAATGACTATCTTGGAAAAAAATACATAAATATTAGAGACAAAGTGGATTGAGGTTTTATATTTAGGATCAAAATAAAAGTCAAACAAAATCTTATATTAAAGACCGGAGGTAGTATTATATAATTTCATCTACATCTTAATTCAAATTACTTAATTCAGTGAAGATTCAGTATTATCATATTAATATATGTATTTAAAAGTTGGTTAAGTAATTTTTTGTTCTAACTAATATGATAATGTATTTTAAATAATCAAACTAACAAATTTTATATGGAATTGAAATTTCTAATTAAAATCATATATGTGTAAAAATTAAATAATTTTATAAATAATTTTATAAATTTATAAAACATATTTATTTTTATTACAATATATTTTTTATTTTAAATTTATAATAATATATCTTAGGACTTAGAATATAATAAAAACTTATAAGGGTAAAACGGTCAATCATTAGCTCCCCTCCGGGCAAAAAGCCAGGAAAGGAGAGCCTTAAACCTGCAATCCCTTAGACCTTCAACAAATGTCTTGCGGTTTCAATTCAATGCCGGTCAATTCTGAAAACATGGGCTTTTGCATGGCTTTCGATGGCCTGTCTGGAATCCAATTAAGGTGCATGCGTCTCAGAGGTATGCTTGATGTCGATGAAGCCTTCTGAGTTACTGTTTGATAATTTGAGTGTTTCTGTATTTCCTTTTTTCTGATTAAATAACAAAGGCGTGGGCCATGAGACCTCTTCCTCTTTGTATAAAACAGTGACGCGGATCCTCCAGACGGATGGAATGCTCGAAGTCGCAGAGAGAGAGACCGAGAAATGTCCGGAAATGTGGTTGTTTCAGAGGGAAAATCAGTGGGGAAGAGCGTTCAAGAGATGTCTATGGATGGCGATGAACCGCCACCGCAGTTTGTTGTGAAGGAACATCCCTTTGGTTCCAAGCAGTGTAATTCTTCTTCAGAATCGATTCACATACCTATCATCGATGTCAGTCTCCTCTTATCTTCAGAACAAGAGCTTCTCCAGCTCAGATCTGCTCTTGCCTCTTCTGGATGCTTCCAGGTGCGATTTGTTTCCTGTTCTTCCTTTTATTCCTCAAAACTCAACACTTTTCGTGATCCAGATTGTTGCTGCTCACTTGATATGTATCTGTTCCTCACTTCAATCCCACTTCAATCGTCAGTTTTGCTGCGGTATTAAGGTTTTTCTCAAAGATTGATTATGAGAAGCTATAAAAAACTAAAATCATCCTTGAAGTTGCTGCTCAGAGAATCATGTATATTTCAGTTTTGAGAATCCGACTATGTTGGGAATTTCAGTTGTCTTTTTTCCTCCTTTCAAGTTCTATGAATCTTGTAAACTGAAATTCAGCTGACAGGCGGTAGGTCATGGAATGTCAAGTTCATTTCTTGAAAAGGTACGTGAAGTTGCAAAGCAGTTTTTTGCACTTCCAGTGGAAGAGAAGCAGAAGTACGCAAGAGCTGTTAATGAATCCGAAGGGTATGGCAATGACAGAATAGTTTCAGAGAAGCAGGTCTTAGATTGGTGCTATCGGTTAACTCTTAGAGTTTTTCCAGAGCACAAAAGAAGGCTTGCTTTCTGGCCTGAAAATCCTGCTGATTTCAGGTACTAGCAAGAAGGAAAGAATGAAAAACAAGTGAAATTCAGCAGTATAATCAGCATAATCATACATTTCCCAATTCTTAAAAGTTAGCAAATTAGTTTTGGCTAAAAATAGTTCATCCATTCTTTTAGTATTGAATGAATCAAAAAATACTTCTAAGATGACGCACTTATTTCAAGATGCTTGATGAATCACTAATTACTAGAATGTTAGACGTACCTGAAAAAATTTATGGGTGTTTTATAAATCTTATCTCAAATCATAATAATGATAGCTACTATTGAGTAGTGATAACAAAGGTATTACAAACATTGAGTATGCCTTATTTTTTATGCAATACAAAAGAATTCGTTTTCCATTTTAGTTGCCAAGCAGGATAGATGATTTATTGATAGAAAGATTTCTTCAAACAATCAACTATTTTAACACTGAGAAAAATCAAATCATAGTTACTGATTTGACAGGGGGATCAATGTGGACGGAGCATTACTTTATTGTGATTAAATAATGCAGGGAGACACTGGAGGAGTTTTCCATTAAAACAAAGGCAATGATGGATCAACTGTTGAGAAGCATGGCAAGGTCATTGAACGTGGAAGAGAACAGCTTCTTAAAGCAGTTTGGGGGGGACAGTGCGATGATGCAAGCTAGGTTTAACTTCTATCCTCCATGTAGCAGACCTGATATGGTTCTTGGCGTGAAGCCTCACACTGACAGATCAGGAATCACGGCTCTCTTGCAAGACGCGCAAGTGGAAGGCCTTCAAGTTCTGATCCATGACACTTGGATCAATGTCCCCGCAATTCCTGATGCTCTTGTTGTCAACCTTGGCGATCAAATGCAGGTACATATATTCATCCTGTGCCTTTTTTTTTTTTTCCCCTCTTTAAATACAACTCACTGGACATTTTAAGGTGAGTTGGATCTTTGAGATAGGGTGCGTCTTAAATCCTAAGATTACTTAAAGATGAACTTATAGATAACCCCAATAATAAGGTCCTCATAACAAGGATAAGGATTCAAACCTGGCTTTGGAAGATATGAGTAGCATATATGCTAATTCTTCGTCTTCAAGGGCTCAGTGAAAGAGTTACAATTGAGACAGATCAAATAAATGATTAGTTCTTCTTATTATTTTGCTAGAAGTGTTCAAGCATATGGGAAATTAGATTGTTTTTATAATCCATCATGCCTTCTTGGATGCTTAATCCTATTATATACGTTGCAGATAATGAGTAATGGAATTTTCAAGAGCCCAATGCACAGGGTTATAACAAACAGAGAGAAGTTAAGGATGTCGGTGGCCATGTTTAACGAGCCAGATGCAGAGGCAGAAGTAGGACCTGTGGAAGCCCTTATTAATGGGACAAGACCGAGAATGTACAGAAATGTCAAGAATTATGGTGTTATCAATTACCAGTGCTATCAGGAAGGTAAGGTAGCACTTGAGACTGTTAGAGTGGCTCATAATTAATCTGATCAAGCAGAAATGAGACTGTTTTAGATATCATCATTGGATTAATTAAATAAGACCCCTTTGATTGGAGCAGGATCGCCTATTCCTATTTGTATCTTATTCCAATTCCCAAACATGGTCCACAGTTATGTATAATATAAATGAACAAAATCTGTTAATTATTGGATTTAAATTTGAATTTAAAGTGGTTTTTCCTCCTAGTTCCTGTAGTTTTGACTCGTAATCAATGAATTTTGTCTTGGTGTAATTCAATCATTAGAGTTTTAATTATTTAAAATATTAATACCTACATTTTAGAAAATAAAACTACAAGGACTAATGTTTCAAATTGTTGAACTATAGGTATTGAGTTGAATTAAGTCAAGATTTAGGAACTAAATTTCAATTAAAACAAAACTATAAAGATCAAATAATTTTTTTTTTTCATTTTTGATATAATATTCTACATTTATGATATACACACAAATATATTGACTTGAAAAATGTTTTATTAGTTGATAAAAGTTATTGGATCTTAAATTTAGCATTTGCCAATGTGACACCTCATGTTTAGATGAGGTAGTGAATTTAAACTTGGTGTTGACATATTTGTATACGCTTTTATGCTTAGATTGTAAAATTTAAAAAAAAAAAAAAAAAAAAAAGCTCGCATACATTTGTTGCATCTTCCAGCATGCAATTTATAAACTCAAATTCTGGTAAAAAAAAAAAATTATAAACTCAAACTGAACAGTTGTAAAGAGGTGAAAGCTCGGTCAAGTGGTCCTCATACCCTGTCAGTGACACATCTTGACTTCAGCGGTCCTCCCTAAACTCGAATGAAGTCTCATATGTTGAAGATCATACCTTAGTCCCTCTTGCTCATGAAATGGCTTTTTACTATAACCTCTCAGTATAAAACATGGTACCTCCAGTTAATTAATATAAGATTTAATTTGTAATTCAAATATTATATTAAGAATCAGAGGTCATATAAACTACAAACCAGAACTTATATTAAAAAATAGAAATAGTGTAATATTATTGTTTGAGTTGCAAATAGTGTGAATTTCATATCAGGTTCTATGCATGGGGCTTGCTGCTGTTAGAATAGTGGAAACAAACATTTGTCATCATCCTATCAGCCTCAACATTATGCAGAGAGTGAGCAACTGAATACCTAAAACTTACCAAGTTTTTGAACCTCTCTTATGTTTGGGAGAAGAACAAGCTAGAACTACGTTCTTTGCCAAAGCAACATATGCTCTCATGAAAATGTGATTTTGTTCTATCTTTCTTGTAAGAACTAGTTAGGGATTTGTTTCTTAATCTCAGCTGTAAAATATTGATTCATTTTATCTCTCACATTTATTACTTTTCTTCAAACTAATATATCTAGCTTATAAAACAATATAGAATCTAATATTACAAAAGAATATTTTTAGAAGATCATGTCACATTTGTTATGATTAAGAAACTTATTTAGTCTTCTTAATCTGTTCAAATTAACTAAGGATCTCTTGCATTAGGAATAAGAGGAATAATATTTTTCCAAACGGACACTTCACCCTTCAGCAGTGGCACAACACGCTACCATTTACCGCTTGTGTGTGGTCAATCTGCCTCATTTTATCTGCCTTCCTTACCAGAGGAGTCACAGCCTGAAGTGCTTGACAAAAGCAGCTGCAAAGGGCAGTGAAGAGCAAGAAGCAACAAGTTGATATGAGAATATCAGCAAGAACATTCCCAATGGGTGATTTTGTGTTTAAAGGAGATAATCAGAAAAACAAACCCCAAGTTATTTTTTATACATATGGTCCATGTTGAAGCACTGCCCTGTTCTCAAAACAAGTCCACCACTCTCTGCAGCATGTTCCTGAACTCTGAAGGAACCTGAATCAATCTTGGACAGGTCAGTGTTACAAAGATATCAGAATTCAGCAGCTTTAGTGCAGGGGAAAGGTGAATCAATGGAAGAGGCTTCGTTTAGGAAATCTCATTTTGGTAACGAAAATCTCACTTTTACCAAGCCAGCTCAACAGTCTTCTCACCTTGTATTAGGGGTAGTCTGGTAAAAGTATTGGGAAGATAGGGCCTTCTAGTTGGTCCCATCGTTTTCTAAAACACACTTTGGTTTTTTTACCAAACACTATAATCTTATCTTGATGTCAGAGGCACTAAAGTCCACATCCGGAATCCCGCGCCATTGTGGGTCAAATCATTAAAAAAGGAAATTACTTAAAATTTGTCAATATCTATCAAATATGATTTATTAGAAATGGGAACATCTATCCAATCCAATTTCATTGCAACCCATCTCACCGGGTGCAAGTGTTTTTCTACTATGTACAACATATTTTTAATTATATATAAAACCAAAAAAAAAAAATTTGTCCATTACAGGAAAGTTGGACTATAGAAAATTAATTGCAATTGTTTAAACAAGTGGGTCCTTAAAACTTTTAGGCAATAAACTTAACAATAAGAATTTTCAACAAAATTTCCCCTTTTTTTTTTCCTGGCGGACCGAGCTAATGATTTTATTCAATTCATTCATTTTCAATCTATATTTAATAATTAAATTTTTTGCCACATTTAATAATTAAAAATTATGTACATGTTTCATTGTTTTATAGGCGGCAGCCGATGCGTCACTGATTGCAACGTCAAAACAAACCACTTCACCAGCTCATTGTTTATGAATATATCACCATATATTTGTTGAGCAGATCTAACTCACTTATGTATATATCTATCTTCTCCAGCTTGAAGGTCATAAGCATTAACATTATGGGTGAATCTGTGGTGGGTAAATCTGTCCAAGAACTGTTCTTGGGGTCAAAGGATTTACCAGAGCAGTATATTTACAAAGATGGTGAAGTTAGTGCTCTTCTTCTATCGTTGCAGATTCCAATCATTGATATTTCTCTTCTGCTATCTCCTTCCTCACAGCAACAACAGCTTGAGTTGCACAATCTTCGCTCAGCACTCACTACATGGGGTTGCTTCCAGGTTCTTCCTCCCTGATTCTTTCTGTATCTCTTTCTTCCTCACAAATTGTTTGCTGATTTTATTAGAATATATCAATTCTCACATCAACCAATTAGAAAATGAATTAAAGGCATAATTCAATCCCTCGTGATTCCAGAAGCAGTCTTAGAACCAGGGATGTTCCCAAGTTGTTTGTTGATTGGTTCTGATTATGTCGAAAGGTTATATCATCAAATGAAAGGGAACAAAGCATTAGGCAGGATTGGGCTAACATCTAAATTTGTTCCAAGATTTACTTCAGCTAAATTTGTAAATTATATTATTGAGTTTTATGAAACTCAGGCAATAAACCATGGGATGACAAGTGGGTTTCTGGGCAAAGTGAGGGAACTTTCAAAGAAATTCTTTGAACTTCCGAAAGAAGAAAAGCAAAAATATGAGAGAGAAGAAGGTGATCATGAAGGATATGGAAGTGACATAATTTTCACAGAAGATCAAAGGCTTGATTGGACCGATCGTGTTTACCTCAAAGTGCACCCTGAGCACCAGAGAAAATTTAAACTTTGGCCCAAACAACCCCATGAATTCAGGTACTTTCCCATTCGCCAGTTTTACTTATCATGATGTTGCCCTTTTTTTTAAGCATTGCAAGTTTTTACTATTTAATTTTGATATGGACATATTAGGGATATGCTGATAGATTATACGGAGAAGCTAAAACGGTTATATGAAGTGATTCTGAAGGCCATGGCTATGTCATTGAACTTGCAAGAGGATAGCTTCTTGAAGCAATGTGGAGACTCAAACATGTTTGCAAGATTCAACTACTATCCTCCATGCACAAGACCTGAACTCGTTCTAGGCCTAAAGCCTCATTCAGATGGATCCGCAATCACTTTGCTTCTGCAGGATGAAAATGTTGAAGGTCTTCAAATCTTCAAAGACAACAACTGGCTTAAAGTTCCTATCATCCCTGAGGCCCTTGTTGTCAACGTTGGTGATCAAATGGAGGTAACAATTATTTAAAAGACTATAAAATTACTGAGGGTATAATGTAAGTAAAACACATAAAGGGTTGGCCTCGGAGAAATGGCAAGGTTGTTGCCATGTGACCTGAAGGCAACAGGTTCAAATCCTGAAAAGAATCTCTCCACTAGAAAGAGTAAAACTATGTGCATTTTATCCCTCCCCAAACCTTGCCTAGTGGTAGCCTTATGCACTAGACCACCCTTGATTGAAATTTATATAACCTTGTGATCTCTTAACCATAATTGAAGGAACTTGTTTGATGTGAACAGATAATGAGCAATGGAATATTCGAGAGCCCCATGCACAGAGCAGTAATAAACTCAGAAAAGGAGAGGCACACATTAGCTATGTTTTGTGCTCCTGATACAGAAGCAGAGATTGAACCAGTTAAAGAACTGGTTGATGAGTCAAGGCCAAAGTTATACAAATCAATAAAGAACTACGTTAAGACCTATTTCCAATACTATCAGCAAAATAAAAGAGCCATTGATGCTGCAAAGATTCAACCCTGTTAGAGTGCTATTTGGCATATAGAAGATGGATTTGAGAAATGGAGAAGTTAAGGAAAAGTACTTTTATTATGTTTAGCAAATGATAAAGTAGGTTTCTTGAAATAGGGCTGCCAATATTTGTGGGAGAGTTTTCTCATTCTCATTTATTTTCTCAATTTTATGTTGTATCAATTCTAAATGAAGTTAAATATGTTATGAAACTATCAATGTCCTTTAATATCCCATGCTTGTACATGGAAAATTTTTTCTAAAAAATTAGAAGTTGCAGTAAAAATTTAACTCTGGATAAAGTATAGATGGGAGTATGTTGTATGTATTGTAAATTGCGTCTTGTCTTTTGTTCATGTATTGCTATCTGTGTCCTGTCTTTTAGTGTTGTCTCCTTTAGAATGTGTGCACATAAATTCTATTTGGGCTGATCTAATTTCTTTCCATGCTTGTAGATGGAACAACTTTCTAGAAATATTAACTCATTACCAAAAATGGGGGGGAAAAAATTAACTCCAGGACTATGTTGCATGTATTGTAAATTTTGCCTGTTTATAAAACAATCCCTTGCTAGTAGGCATCTCTCTCAAATGTATTATTGAGCTTAAATTGTACACTTCATGAGACAAGGAGTAGATATTCCTGTTGTAGTTTTATGTGTGTTGAAAAAGTTTGATATTTCAAGTTAAACTGAGCCTTTATAGAAGTTAAGATGTTAACTTGAGCTAACAAAAAGAGTCAAAAAGAGAAATACAGTCGCATGCACAATAAAAACAAGCCAACGTAGTTAAAAATTTTCAATTTCTTCCCATGCCAGCAAATAACAAGGTTTTAAATTTATGTTGCTATACTTCATTTTGCAAAGACATGTAACTGATACCTATAATTTAAAAAACTTATAAAGACCTAATGAGAAGAAAAAGAAAAATACAAAGACTTGATATAAAATTAGATGGCATTATAGAAACTTGCATATTAATTTTTGGGAAGATTTCACAAAAACAAACTTAAAATTACTGAATCTCAAATCAGATTCGGTGACAATACTTTAATAGGTTTTGATAATATTGGACTTGCAAATAACACATTATTTTTGTAAGAATTCCTTATTTGGGATTTAGTTATTTCAAGCTTCTTTTCATAAAATTTTCCCTAATTTTTCCTAAATTTGATTTTAAAATTAAAATTAGTCTTGGTCCCTCTCATTTGTATAGAAAGTGACATTACACCTAAATGGATCTATGGGTGTGATTTATTGAGTGGAGAAACCTATTTAAGCACCATCACACCCTTACAGAGTAGTGATAATGCCTCAGGTTTTCCCAGGAAAGGTTCATAAATTGAATAGTGCATCAGATAACATAATGACTGAGATCTCTTGTCACTTAGCACGTTTTGATGGGCCATTGTCGTCGCCACCTTATGAGCCTCAAAGTTGTGGTAAGAATGAGCAAATTCACTTAAACCTCGTGCAGGATAAGTTCGAAATGGCAAAATCTGAAGGCATGGCATGGATGGTTGCTGTCTTGGGTTGTTTGGGAAAAATATTAGAACAAATCAAAATCACATGTTGGCAGAAGCAACAGCACACTGTTTTTGGCCAAACCGTGATTTTGAATTGTTCCATAGGATTTTTTAAAGTTGCAAAGGGCAGTAAACAGCAAGAAGCAACAAGTTGATGAGATAATATCGGAAAGAAACCATCTTGTGTTTAAAGGATAAGATCAGAAAATACAAACCCCATGTTACTTCTACTGTCCATGTGGAAGCATTACCATTCTTTCATAACCAGTCCACATTCCGCAGCATGTTCCTGAACTTTGGTCTGCTTCCTTTGCCGTGGGAGAACCTGAATCAATCTTGGACATGTGAATGTTACAGAGATATCAGAATTCTATGTCGTCACAGTCACAGAAGCTTGAGTGCAGGGGAAAGGCAAATCAGTGGAAGAGGCTACATGTGTAAAGTCTCATTTGAGTAACAAAACTTTTACTGGGTCCATACACTCTTCAGGTCAAAAGTCTCCATGCGGAGTAGTTATAAAATACAATAATTGGATGAAGGGTAGACTAGGAATAACTTCGGAACCAATGGCCTTGTAGCTTAATGAAATGAAAAGTGAAAGGTTACAGGTCTTATCTTACTTGTAACCTCAAAGAAAAGTGAAAGGTTACAGGTCTTATCTTACTTGTAACCTCAACGTTATTAATGTGTGGCCCGCCAATTTTTTTTTTTTTTTTAAAAAAAAAGCTTGGGATGGTAGGGGCCTTCAGTTGGTCGTGTCCTGCTCCAAAGGCACTACCCCCTACATTCCATAATCCCAAATCCGAAATAAATTGAACTTACTACTGTGCATGTTTAATTTCACATTAAAAAGCACCAAAAGCATGTTTTTGGGGGAAGAACCGGTCAGAACTCAAAACTATGTTTTAATGGGTTCCTGAAATGAGCCAATCAGGCTCTTCAATCCCTTTCTTCTTTATCATGTTGGCCCTATCACCTCTTCTCTTTTGCGCTTAGATCAGCATGGTTTCGCTTATATCCAGCAATCTTTGATCACAACTACCTCTCGTTTCAAAACCACAGATCCTCCACATTCTCTATTTTCGTCCTTGTATTAATCATATCTAAGGATATGTGTTGCCAAAAATAATGGAACCCAAATCTACCAAGAAGCAAATGGTATCTTCACAGCCTTCCTCTAATTCTTTCCCCCCTTTTTTTTAACCCCACCAAAGCTCATCAAAAAGGCAAACAATAAAATTGTATGAGCAGCATTTACAATATTCAAAGGGCCAAAGAAGACAAGCCATAAAGTAATTAAACAGCCAAGCATGTCTAAAAGCCAGAATATTTGCAGAAGAGATTGATAAGTATTGTCATTATCATCACCACCATCATCATTGTCAACCTCTTTACAACGAAAATTTTTCTTTCCTGAAATAGCCTACGTGGTATATCAAAGCAAAGAACGATAAACTAGGCACATTTTGATTGGAGAGGGGAGAAAAAGTTTGAAAGTGAAAAAAAAAAAATGTCTGCATGACAGCCGTGTTAAGAGTAACAATGAAAAGACACTGGGATTTTCCTTTTTCTTCCAACAAAGCAGGAAAATTAAAGCTTGAAGAGAAGACCACCGTGCGTAGCAAAGAATGGGGCAAACACAAGAGACTCAACAGCCATCAGCTTGATAAGAATGTTAAGTGATGGTCCAGACGTATCCTTGAGAGGGTCACCAATGGTGTCACCAATAACAGCTGCCTTGTGTGGATCAGATCCTTTAGGACCAAGGTTTCTTGCATGCTCTGTCGCACCAGCCTATCACACCAAAAATTTATAACAAAATCAGTCATTAGACCATGACCATACTCTACTATGTCTGCTGATTATAAATATCGAGCCCCACGCTCACCTCAATGTACTTCTTGGCATTATCCCAAGCACCGCCAGTGTTGGATGCAGAAATAGCAATCTGTAAAGAGGGTACAGAAACAAGTTAAGATCAGAGCAACAGAAAAATGAACAGGCGAAGATCGACAAGAAACTTTAAGTTTTAATAATCTCATGAAGAATTTATGGCAAATATGTAAGGAAAATAGCAGCATCAATCACATACAACATTGTGGAATAGTGTTTGGATGGAAACAAAACCATAAGCTTTAAAAGTGATTTTACGGTATATGAAGTAAATATGTGAAGAGTTTGTCTTGATTTGCGGAAAAGTACTTTTGAGAAGCACTTTTACAGCTTCCCAAACACTTTTTTAGTATAGCTGGGGCTATTTAAATGAAATGGACCAATATCTAGGGACCATGACATTGACAACAATGACCAAAAAGATCTGGAGGCTAAAAATCAAGGATTTATGCAAACAGTGGCTAGAAAGGGAAGCATGATGATAGCAAATATGATGAGATTAACATTAAAACCAGCAAGCCTTTTATCATGGGAATACAGAATGCAGACATTGGACCACAGAAGAGGGATTGAAGACAGGCCTAAATCTAAATTTCAAATTTTAAAAGAGATGGGAAAGGAAGTATTCCATCAACCATACTCCCAGAAAGGATACAAAAACATTACCTGTACCCCAGACACAAGGGATCCAGCAAGCACACCAGAAAGTGTTTCTACACCAAAAAATATCCCAACAATAAGTGGTGTAAGCATAACAAGAGCACCAGGTGGTATCATCTCTCTGATAGAAGCATCAGTGGAGATCTTAACACACGTAGCATAGTCAGGCTTGCCAGAGCCCTCCAGCAAGCCAGGGATTGTATTGAATTGCCTGCGTACTTCCTCAACCATCTTCAGAGCTGCACTTCCTACACTCTTCATTGTCATGGCAGAAAACCAGTAAGGAAGCATTGCACCCACGAGTAAGCCAATAAAGACCTTTGGAGTCAGCACATCAACTGTAGAAATATTAGCTCGGCTCACAAAGGCACCAAACAGGGCAAGAGAAACTAGAGCAGCAGAACCAATTGCAAACCCCTGCAACATTAAACAAGAAATCCGAGAAGGCTGACAAATGTGTTTATGAACCAAAAAATTAACAAAAGGAAGTAAGAGATAAAACACAAACCTTTCCAATAGCAGCAGTTGTATTTCCTGCGGCATCAAGGGCATCAGTTCTCTCACGAATTCTGTGACTCATGCCAGCCATTTCAGCAATACCTCCAGCATTGTCACTAATTGGACCATACGCATCAATGGCCAATCCAGTGGCTATGGTACTCAACATCCCAAGGGCAGCAACAGCAATACCATACATGGCAGCAAAGCTAAAACTAACAAAAATGCTAACTGCAATAGCAAAAATAGGAATAATGACAGATTTGTATCCCAAGGCAAGGCCAAATATAACATTAGTAGCAGCACCAGTCCTGCAGGAGTCTGCAACATCTTGTACAGGGCTGCAAAAAGCCAACAGAAAGAGTTTAAGTCCAAGATACGAACCAGATGCCAAGAGGTGAAAGGGGAAAATGACCCCAGTTTGCTCACCTATAAGCATTGCTGGTATAGTACTCAGTTACAAATCCAATAACAAGCCCTGCCCACAGACCAACAGCAACACACAAGAATAGCTGCCTGCAAAGGAAATCAATCCCAGAACTCCTCAGATAGGAAAATAAGCACTAAGATTAGCAGGCTGCCAAGGATGACTAAATTAAAACAGGCATTCAAGCATACTCCCTCTAGTCCTTTTTACAAGAAATGTTTAACAGCTATCACATAGATTAAGAAAACTAGTTAAAATTGGTTATTCTCATTAAATATGTCCATATCTAAACATATTACAAAA